TACCTGTAACAGCTGACAAGGGAGCAGACTCATGTCTGCTAGATCCCGAACAATATATAAGTAGAATTTTATTTCATTCTTAATCAGCATTGAAATATTGCAAGACAGCCAGAGATGGAATTTCCCCATATGGGAAAGTAACATCAGATGCAAATTTCTCTTCCATGAGAGATCCAGAATGGCTAGAAACTGAAAAGCTTTTTAAGGCCTACTCAAAAAGCTTCCTTCTAATGTCAGCTACCATTAGTTAAATGCAATTTAAACATTCCTGTGCATAATTAAATCACCTGAAAGACAAAAGGCCTCTCTTTTGGAATCAACAGCATATAGAGTAGAAGACATTCAAACAGTCCTCGACTTACAACAGTTCATTTAGTGACCGCTCAAAGTTACAGCAGCACTGAAAAATCTGACTTATGACCATTTTTCATAGTTACGACCTTTGCCATGGGATCAGAATCCAGACGCTTGGCAACTGGTTCATATTTATGACCTTTGCTATGTCCCGGGGTCATGGGATCCCCTTTTGCGACCTTCTGACAAGCAAAGTCAAAGGGGAAGCTAGATTCACTTAACAACCGGGTTTACTAACTTCACAACTGCAATGACTCACTTAACAACCGTGGCAAGAAAAGTCGTAAAAATGGGGCAAACCTCAACGTCTCACTTAACAACAGAATTTTGGGGTCCAATTGTGGTTGTAAATAAGGATTACCTGGTACTTCAAGCCTGTACAAAATCAATTTGTCTTTGCACTTTTATCAAAAAAACCCCTAACACATGGATAAGCAAGATTCATATAGTCCTAAATCAACATCCCCACCCCCACCCCAAAGTAGTTTATCCTGGCATACAAACACTACTAGCTTCTCCCAGGAGCCAACTAATCAGTTGGCTATAACAAGAGACCACTCCCCTAATTTCCCTGCTGCTAAGGGCAATGAAAAACCAGTAGCTTGTATTGGGGCTGAATGCAAGATTATAAAAACCTTGCTGCTTTCTTTTTCCTTTCAAGGACCCACAGCTTAAGATCATTTGTTTCCCTATGCAATTAGTGGGGGGGGGGAGACTGAGCAATATTGCTGAGAGGGAGGGGACCGCTTTTTCCTTCCTATTCTCTCCTCCCCCCCCATGACTGCTTGAAGCCATCCTTTCTCATAATGGAAAACCAGCAATCTGTAATAGATTGTTAGGCTGAAGAAGGCCGATTCGCTTCCCAGCAAAATTGCTCACAGCTTTTTGAAGAAAGGGGAATGAACAAGCGAGCCTGTGTGCACAAATGATACGTATGTATAAGGGACAGTCTGGTGTGTAATTAAGCAGAGGCATACGACACACACATATCTACAAGCAACTTGTGTGACCCCCTTAAGTAGAACCTAGTTATAAGTAAAGATATTTGGAAATAAGGTATTGCTAGTTCAGGAACTGATTTTAAATGAAGTTCCATCTTCATACTACTATTAACCTCCGATTATTTCGGCCTTTTTTTACTTCAGCAGTATGATGGGAACAGGCTGACACATCTTGATTTGCAGTTGTTGTTAGACAACTAAAAACTGGAAATCTAAAAAAAAAAAAAAGTTCTGGGACAAGCTCCTCCTCCCTAAATCAAACTCTTAACATTTTCACATTTATTTCCAGGAATGTTATCCTTAAACATTTTAGTTCTTCATTCCCGAATTTCTAATTTTCCTTTTTAGATACTTTTCAAACAATTATTGCTAGTCTGCTTTCATCTGCCTTGATTTATGATCCAGGCCTCTTTCTCCCTCCTTCCAATTTGCCTTTAATTTCTTACTGTCTGTTGAGCTCTTTCAGCGCTGTTTATTTTGGATTTTCCCTCTCTTTTATTTCATTTTCATCTTCTTCAAAGCACCAATTTGAGTTTTGTGGTAACCATTTAGGCATCTGGCTTTAGTGGTGTGTTTGGGAATACATGGTCAACATTCAATATTACATATTAATAAGCAGAGTGACTCTGGAAGGTTAAGCATAACTGGGTGGAAACATTTTTACTGTCTGATAAGGAATATATTCAACTAGTTTGAAGCAACTTATCCTACCAAATAGAAAGATCAGGAGGAGGAGGGAAAGCAAGTTCAGAATGGATACACATCCAGCTTTTGAACTGTCTGGGTGGTTTTGAAAAGAAATCATGAGATAAAGCTATTTAAGCCTTGCACTTAAGGAACTGAGAGATCCAATTTTTTAAGGAAGGTCCCTTCAAAGTCAAACAATTGTCCAGCCAAGCCAGGAATGTCAACACAGATGTTCCTTAAACCTTTTTTTTTCTGGAAAACTTATGTACCTAGTAAACATGTCAAATGAACTAAGATCGTGGATATAATTATGCATTAAAACTATATAAAACGAAGGGCATAGGGAGGGGCTAAGGGTATGCCTTGGCTTGGGACTCCATAGATAAAAGGACCTGAGCAGTGGTGATAAAAAGGGGTTTTCCTATATGTAGACAAATGCCCTTCCCTAGTAAGCAAGTAGTAAACTACCAAGACCAATGGTTTCCACCATTTAAAATTGGGGTGAACAATTTGCAGTCTTAAGGCTTCAGCCCATTATATGGCTAACTTCATATGTTAGACCTTAAATTCAAATCACCCCTGCAAGAGATGGTAAAGAGTTACCTGTATTTTTCCTGCAGAGAAAGGGAAAGAGAGAGAGAGAGAGAAGGAGGGAGGGAGGAGAGAGAGAGAGAGAGAAAGAGAGGAAGGAAAGGAAAGGAAAGGGAAGAGAAGGGAAGGGAAGGGAAGGGAAGGGAGGAAGGAAAGGAAGGAAGGAAAAGGAAGGAAGGAAGGACTCAGATTTGGGCTCTGGTTCCACTCTCTGGTTGTTTCAGTCCCACCAGGAGTTTAACCATACGAATCTAAGAGGTCTCAATTCTGTCAGAAAAATGTCTAGAGAAAGGGTTACACTGATACAGAAGCATAACACAGCTCACAGTCTACAATGTAGCAGAAAACTATTCTTTTTGGACTTGGCCTGTGGAAATTAACATGATTTTTAAAAAAAGATCCCTTAGTTTTTGCATCCTTGCAATTTGTGGCAACCTGCTCATATGCAAAGATTCCCAGTGCATCATGCCATTTTAATTTGCTTCACAGTCTCAAGTGCCAGAAAGAAATCAATACAGCTGCAGCAAGGCTTTGGTGCCTATTTAACAACATCAGCAACATTAACTTAGCCATCAGGACAATGGGATGGCAGGAAGAAAGGAGAGTAACACAGCACTCCCAGCTAGCTAAATATATTGTTTATCACACAGGACTTTAAGAGAAAATTTATGTCTACATACAAACATATTTGTTTGAAATTCATAAAGAGCCCTATGTTAAGTTACATCTATTTACTGTTAATGGATGCTGGCTTATCTGCTAATTAGATAATTCTTGCAGATAATTGTCAAAGGCTAATGAATGCATGTTGCTGGGGGAGGGGAAGAAATGGAAGAAGCTGTCGCCAAGATGGAGTCCTCATTAAGAAAAATGAATTTGGGGCCTTCAAAAGTGACAGGCATTTATTTATAATTTCTACTCAAAATTCAGTAGTAAGAGGGACAACCCCATGCTTCAGGAGTCTTGCGTGCCAACAGCCTATTTGAAATTCTGTTTTGTACAGAAGGTATCCATACCAAAGACGGGGAGAAAGATTATTTCCAATTGTTTAGAAACAATAGAAAATATTTTAAATACGAGGCCACTAAGTAGGCTAAGCTCATTTTTCTAGCACCAACAGCCTGCCAAGTTTCAGTTTTTAAGATATTCTGCCTTTATATAGCTATTGGTATACTTTTATCAAACTATTACATCTCCTATTAATAGCCAATCCAGGGAACTCTTTTGTTTGTAAGATACTGAAAGAGAGGCAGTTTTGGAAGTATCACATTATTAACTCAAGCGCTATTTATAGGAGCTGGTGTTTCATTAAATAAGTGAATATATCCTGAACTGCAAAACAGGAAAGGAAATAAGCTTTGCTGTTAACTGCATTTATGTATGCATTATGTTTCTCAGGCATGCAAACTCTCTCTCTCTCTCTCTGAAGGAGGCCCATCCTTCTGCTGAATGTGAAAAGGAAAAAAAATGGCAAGCTGGGACAGTTTCGATAAAAAAAAAGCTTTTTGAAGTGTGCAGAATCTCTTAAACAAAGAAGTCTGTAATTATGGCAACATGTGTCTTCACGAGAACATTATTGTGCTACATCAGCAGCAATCCAGAGGCAGCACCAATGAAATCTCCTCAAGAATAGAGGGGAGAAGGGGAAGAAGGAAAAAAAAAAACTTTAGCAAAGTTGTAGGGTTTGTAAAAGGAGGTGACCTGATGTTCTGGAAGCAGCTTATTAAAACCCCGGAATCTGTTCCTGGATGATGAAGACAATAATTTCCCTTCCCGCACCAGCGAGAGACACACCTTTTTTTTTTTTTAAGGGCCTAACCCCCAGAGGAAAATATGGTTCATTTCAGCAGCCTTTTCAGAAAAGGACCGACCGCAACTCCGCTTCGAAAACGTCACTGAAGGAGGACATGATTGTACAGTGCACAAACTAGAAAGCTGACTTTTTTTCCCCCCTCAGAAAGAGGAACATTTCTTCCACGCTGGATTCCGAACAGAAAATGAAACTAAAATATGCCATTACAAAAAAAAAAAAAGAAAAGAAAAGAAAAGAAAAAAAAAGAGGGGAGGGGAAGAGGCACACACACCACTCACAGAGAGAATCGACGTGACCATTTGCTCCCTTCCCCCCCCTCCTCCTCCATGCAATGAGCCATGCAAGTCTTTAATCTGATTACGGCCTAATCCCGCCTTCTGCCCAGCTGCTCTGTCCTCGCCCTCCAAGCAGGGCCTAGTGGGGACAGTAAACTTCTCAGTTGCAATTTCCCCCCATTGCCCGAAATTTTATTTTCTTTTCTAGGATGGGAGCGTGGGAGGAAGGGGAGGGGGGGGCGCAAAGAGAATAACCATCCAAGCAATTCATGCTCCTACTTTTTAGTGCAATCCAGGAGGATCCCGGTGAACCGCCTCTCCCCGCAGCTCAAGGTGACTACCAGGGTATCGTTCACCATTTGCTCCACCAGCACGGGCAGCCAGGAGCCGACCTGCAGCTCTTTCGCGTCAGCCTCCTCCATGCTTTTGCCAGAAACTCCCGGCGGTGGCGGCGAGCCTCGGTTTGCAGCTGGAGTGCGGCTGCGAGAGATCCCAAGCGGCCTTGCTTGGGCAGGCTTTTCCCCTCCCCCCCCCCGCCGCTGAAACTGCCGCTGCTGCTGGTGCTGGCGCTGCTCTCGGGATAGTTAGACTGGCCGCTTCGATGACCTCATGGCTCCAGGCTCCCCCTCAACAGGGAGGATTAAGTAGGTGCGTTGACGTCACAATGCTTCCCTCCCGGGAACGTTCCACAGAGGAATCCTGAAACAATGGGCGACATTAGATTACTTAAGGAACGAGAAAGGTGTTTTGATTCTCTTTTTTTCCCCCTCCCCTCCTCCTCCTCCCCTCCTCCTGCTTTACCAAGCGAGTTACCCTTTTAGGAACGAGGTTTCCCGCCTGCCCCACACTTGAGCGCTTTAGAAGCATTCACGCTTACGCTTACAGGAGGGGTCAAGTGATTATCCAGGCTAAACTGCTTCCGTCCCGGTACTGTTGCTTGACAATCCAGCGCAGCATAGATTAAATTCTGGGCATGCTGCTGTTGGTTTAAACCTGCGGGGATGCCTTCTTTCCCCTCCCGTTGCAAAGGAGATTATTTTACCTGGAGGGAGGGAGTGGGTGGGTGGGTGAAACGCACGCGCCACTCGGCGTCCAGATTTCTAGCCACCATCCCAAGTAAAGTAAAAAATGTTGTTTTCTTCCGTCACGTGGCCCTGATGGTGGCTATCGACAAGCCATCTTTCTGCTCTTGCCAGCAAAAGACAGGTTAGCTCTGGATTCCCATAGCCAGCCGAGCCTATTTTGTTTCAGCCAAATCTGGAGTGGACCGATTTTAACATTTCCTCTGCATGTGTCTGTCTGTCTGTCTGTCTAGATATGTGTGTCACATGTATGCCGGTACAGTATGTGTATTTGGAAGGAAATCAGTCGATTTTACTTCCAAGGAAGTCTGCACTGGATTGTAGCTATGAATAGCTTTATCCTACTTACTCCAGAAGAGTTCAGTTAATTTCCATGCTCTTTAGGGTGAATTGACCCAAGAAAAGGGATTTTTCCAAAACTCAGCACATTCAGAGACCATGTGCTTGTGCCCTGGCAGAGCCAGCCTTCAAAAGGCCAGTTATTTCCTTTCAAAGTGAATGTTGGGATACTAAACTCTCAGCTCCTGCTAATAAACTTGATGGTTGCTTTATGTAAGAAGAAAAGGACTTCAAGTCCTTTTTTTGAAGAGTTGGAGGGAAAACAGTGCTACAAGAGGCCATCCTCCCTAATTTCTATGAGAAATTTCAGACAACCTGTGTTTCATCTCATGCATAAGCTGTTCCCAATTACTTTAAATATCATCCTCAAATAAAATATGTGAACAACTCTATACTTGGAAATCAACATTAAGGAACAGTGAAATTTCTTTTTGTGCCATATAATTCACAACTGACTAATGAGGAGTTCTCTCTCCAGATCTGTGTTCCATTGTGTTTGATAGTATATATCTTTATATTGGTAAGTCCTATAGTATTCAGTAGGTTTCTTAATAAATACAGTTCAGTAAGGTTGATTAGATTTGTAATGTTTACAGGAAATATATCAGTACCATTACATGGCCATATATCTTACATTGCTAGGTCCTATAGTATTCACTGAGCTTCATTATAAATACATTTAGATGTGCAATTAGAAACAGGAAGCAATTGATTTCCAGGTAATTTTCTATAAATTCAGGAGATTTTCAAAGCAGACATTCTGAAGAAGCAGTGTAGCAACAGAATCCTGAATGTCCAGAAGGCAAGAAGCATCCAGTAAGTTGCATTTTAACCGAATATTAGGTCCTGCTGAGTTCTGAAGGACTTACTGCTAAAAATAGTTCTGACATTTTTGTTTCTAAAGTCTGTGTATAGATCTTGTCATTGTGCATTACAGAGAAATCTTTCTAGAATTGGAAAGGATGCATGAGGAGTGCTGTATTTTATTTTATTTTAACACTGCAAGAACAGTTGATCATGTTTTTGGGGTCTGTTGCAGTTGTTTGTAGGGACTCTGACTTGGGTTAAATAATCTTAGAAGTGCAGAATTGGAAAAAGTTACAAGGATCAACTTGTCCACTTCCATGGAATAGGAAGGAAGATCAATTAAATCATCTACAAGGAAATTAAATCATCTCCATTGTTTCTTTAAAATCTCCAGAGTTGGAATGTTCATAACCTCTATAGATTGGTCCTTTGTAGGAAGCTTTTACCTTCAATATATTCAAATTGTTTCTTCATGAAGAATGCTTAGTGATAGAGTAATTCCAAAGGTGGCTTTGCAACATTTCCAAGTATTCCTACATGACTCTGGAGTTTGTGGTTTGCTGTGATTTATAGGTTCAGTTCAGTAAGTGGCAATAATAGGATTTATGTTGACCTCGCTTCACTATCATTTTCAAGGAGAAGAAAAGTTTGTATGCGGGGGTGGGGGCTATAGTGTAGGACAGCAGTAATTGTTCAAGAAAAATGCCCAGACAGCCTTATCTTCATAAATCACTCAGAAGTTGGATATGTTAAAGTGATCATTCTTCCATAACATTATAAAGTAAATTTATAAGATAAAAAGATTGTAACATAGCAAGATTTTAGTTTTATGTTACAATCAGTGGATGAAAAAATTAAAACTAATGATTGGATCCTTTTCTACACCTTGTATGATAATATAACATAAGTAGAAATGTGCATGTTTCTTCACTACACCTATGAAGGGTTAAGCTTTTTCCTAGAGATACTAAGATTTTTGCTTGAGTTTGAACTGAATGATGTGGAATCACATGATCTTGTATAGGATTATTTTGTCAGGCCTCAACACAGTGCCACAAAGAGGGGAGGGCTGCTCCCCCCCTTTGCATTCAAAAGAGGTCCAAGGTCACCAATCTTTTCCTGCTTCTGCCAGTCTTGAATTAGCTCCTTAGATATAAATCTACAATACTGCCAAAAATCTGTTCACTCTTGCAATATCAAATTTTTCAGATGAGTGACAATGAAATAGACTAGAAACTTTATTGGAAATGTAGCATTTTACCTCCAGCATATGTACAACTCCATATTTAAGAAAGATCTAAAGGGGATTATTAAATGTAAGCAATTTTTTAAAAGGAAATAAATAGGTTTTCTTATCTGTAAAGCAATCTCACTACCCTGAACACATTTCTTCAAAACACACATCAGTATAAAGCAGAAATTGGAAAAAGAGAAAGGAAGGTATAAGAACCATCACATTTCAATGTAGACAGAATCAGTATAATGATTTGTAGATTTCTTAGATTATCCTCTATTTTTTTTAAAAAAATACATTATATTTCTTGTATTGAGGATTCATCAGTCTACTTTTAGCTTAAGGTGTTATAATACAGTGAAGCAAATCCTAGAAACCAGAGTTAAATACAGTGTAGAATGTTTCAATTTATTTGAAACATCTGTATAGGCTTTTCTTCCTCCAGTCTTTTTTCCCCCCCTTAAAGCTCTATCCTCCTCATATATTTTGCAAAATCAAGCAAACCAGATAACCCTCACACTCCCATATTACATTTTAGATCTTTATTAGTGTGACCACTATAGTCACTATTTTTTTTCTGTCAGTTTTTTTTTCTAGTGGGCTCTTCAAACTATAACATCTCTTAACTCCAGCCTGCAAATGGGAGGCTATTTACAGTCTGAGGCTTAATTTTGTTTAATTCTTAATGAAGGAGAGGTTAAGGGCGGGAGGTAGCTTTGCTTCATTCATGTGTAAGGATTCCCACCTGGTTCCACAGTCTGGCTATGAATTAAAATCAAAGAAAAAAGAAGCAAGCATGAAGGATGCATTCCAAAAAGAAAGGCGAAGAAAACACTCAAGCAAACGCACCACCCCAGCCAGGATATATAAAACCCTCGCAAATGAGAAGCAGTCGGAAGAACAGAAACAACGAAGAAAGAAAAAAAAAAGTCTCTGGCTCGCATTACCTGATCACTGTCTCTCTCCGGCCCTTTTAACCATGGCAATGTTTGACGATTCGAGGAGGTTACTATGCGTGGCTGATCGTTTCCATCATACGCCGCCTAGCGGTCGCTGGCGGCATTCCCTCCTTCAAATGGGCTCCTTCCAGCCTTGGAGTCGCCTCCTTTGCAGCTGCTGGAGCCGAAGCTGACACGCTGAAGCAACCTCAGATAACAGGGTGGATGGACGTCGCCGCCGGAGGCAGGGGTGGGCGGCAGGGGCATCAGTCACCTTAAACCTAAGGCACATTCCAGACCTCCTGGGATACTTCTAAACACATTCTCGAAGGGGTAGCCGGCAGTCTCGCTGGCTGCAGCGTTTGAATAAAAAACATTGCAAAACGACAGCCGCCCCCTTCAAATCCTTGTGGATTCAGACGATAAGGCTTTAAGTGTATCCTGAAGGATTTGTTCAAGTTGTGGAAAAGCTCTGAAACACCCCCCCCTTCCTGTCACCCGCCGCCGTTGTCGCTCCATCCTCTCAAGTTTCTTTTACCGTGATCATAACTTTAAAATATATATATATATTTTTAATAAAAATAGTCTTTCATTCCCTCTGCCCCCACAATTCCTTTCTTTTTATAGTAATTCTATTAAACGTTGCAGTTAAAAGCCTGGACTGAGGGTTTTTTTGATTATTTTAATGGGTTTTAATATATGTTTAAATTATATATTTGTACATTTATGTATTTTATGTATGCATATTTATGTATTTTACGTTTTATTGGGTCTGTTTTTATTTGTTGTGAGCCGCCCTGAGTCCTACGGAGATAGGGCAGCATACAAGTTATATTAAATAAATAAAAAGGCAAGAATTAATACAAAGTAAAAACAAAGGCATAAGAAAAAATAGAAAGCGAGGAAAGAGAAAAATAGGGAAAAATAATGCATTAAAATATATATAAAGAAATGACTTCCCTCTTCATCACAAGTATAAACAATTTTAGTAACATCACTCATCAGAATACAACAAATCTTCCCATATCCTATCTTTTATCTGTAAACAAATCCTTAAAATCTCATTCTTGAGTCCTAGTCAACCAAAGTAGATAAATATTACCCAGAGATAATGTATCTCTCTTAATCTTGATTGAATAAACCTATTTTATATTCTGTAATACTTTTAACCATCTTAACCTTTCATCCTTTGAATTTGATTTCTTTTCATTTCTTTGTCCCTTTTCATAAAATTCTTGAAAACTCTTTCTTTTGTAACTTTACCAATATAGGAAAGTCATCCAGGTCACTCCTTTGGTTTGTAATTTGTATATCCCTTTTAATTATTAAGACATCAGCTGGTTTCAATAAAGAATATTTGTAACTCAGGGTTGAAATGAGGGGTCCTCATCTATGATGTTAGCTAGTTTGAGTAATGAAGTGTCTGCAAGAAAACAACCAAGCTCTGAGAGCACCAAGGACCCCTCAGCTAGTTTCATTTGTATATTCAGTATAGCATCTTTTTCAATATTATCTATTGTTATCACCTTTAAAGCGCTCCATGGCTTAGGACCTGGGTACCTACGAGACCGTCTTTTGCCACCAATAGCCTCCCACCGACCAGTTCGTTCTCACAGGGAGGGACTACTCAGGGTACCGTCAGTCAAATTATGCCGACTGGCGACTCCCAGGGAGAGGGCCTTCTCTGTGAGGGCTCCAACCCTTTGGAATGAACTGCCCCCTGAGGTACGAAATATCCCTGATCTCCATGCTTTCCGCCGTGCCCTCAAAACCCTGATGTTCCAACAGGCGGGGCTAAACATATGAACATGTGAATGTTTTTAAAATGTTATCTAATTTTAGGTTCTATTTAATTGGGCCAAACTATGTTATAATAATAATTTTAATTAGCAATTTTATGATGTTTGTGTATCTATATTTTTCTTGACTGTACACCGCCTTGAGTCCTACGGGAGAAAGGCAGTATAGAAAGAAAGAAAGAAAGAAAGAAAGAAAAGAAAGAAAGAAAGAAAGAAAGAAAGAAAGAAAGAAATATCATACCAAAAGTCTGTCATTTTTAAATCCACTTTCAAATCATTCCCAGTCTTAACCAATAAAATTTGTTCCTCTTCCATACCATTTTTTAGACACAGTCTATTTACAGTGGTGGGAGCTTTTTAGATTAATTCCTGGGTCCGTGATTCACCTACATCCTTCAATACACCCATTGTTTAAAGTATTTTGCTTTATTCTGTATTAGTAAGTCACATTTAAGCATTCTTTAATTGTAATCTTTAGTTCTTTCTAGTTCCCTCTACATAGATTATGTTACAAAGGAAGCCTATTATGTTCAAATACAGATATCAAAGTATTTAAAAATAATTCATATAATTATATATGATTTTATTTATTTATTTATATATTTATATTTATATATATATAAATACTTCACGGGTTAGAATCCAAAAATCAGTTAGGTGCCTCTATTATTAAATGAAGTGCTGACTTTTAGAGGTCAGTGACAAAGTTGAACCCTTTTTCCCCCTTCCAAGTTCATAGACTTCCTGGAATCTTAATTTGGATCCCAGATTAACAACCCCTGAGATAGATGCTAGTGACAAATAGAAGGTGGACTTTGTGGAGCCCTCTTGATTATAAGGTATTTCAAGACTAAAAAAACAGATACCAGTTTTTAAAAACCAGCAAATATTCCAGATTGGACAGTGCAAAATACTTTGGAATATCTTTTTGGAATCCTTCTTTAGTCTGAGATAAGGCAAATGCAACTGGATTTAAGGTTTCACAGTTGTGGCACCCTGTTTATGTAATATTCTTCTGGTGACACTGGTATTAGTTCTATGATTCAGGAACATTGCAAAGGCCTTTTAATCTTTTAGGTAAATTGTACCCTGCATTGGTTTATTTACTTATTTGTAGATAATCTGTAAGACACCTTCTGGCTCTTGAAGACTAATCGTGATAGAATCTGGCAGATGTCAATCAGAAGCAATTCACAAGTGAGAGACTAGTATCAGTAAGGCCCTCTTCCTTGTTCTCATAAGCTAATGTTAGCTCTAAATAAGTTCCTCAGCCTCTCCGAGAGCCAAAACAGTTTACATTTCCCCCTGCAAATTTAAATCTGTAAGAAAGTATCTTGAAAACCACCAAAAATATTTAGATTCTTCTGCCTCCAGAGATGGATCATAATACTCATCCCCTACTCATTAGTCTATTACAGATTTATCTGGAGATTTATTTGTTCAATGTATGTAGTAATTTACATTTGATCACATAAATATTGATCTGTTGTCCCAACAATTCCTTCCACCCATTTATTATTGCTTTCATTAATCCAATGCAGAAAATGAGATTATGTTTGTGTCTTAACGTGTGTTGGGCTAGTCATAATCTGAGCTAATTCATTATTAATATAGTCATCAGATCATAGACACTTTAGTGTTTGGCTTCTCATATGCTGTCTAGATATGCAGATAGTGCACTTATATATGCATGTGGGAAGTATGGATCACACGCTGGATATATGTCAACAGTCACCAATGTTGATTTTTAGTATGTATGTATCTCAGGCATGGAAATGAAGTATGTGCTTCAACCATTGATGCTTGTATCAGGGACAATAGGTACAGAGGAAAGCACCATTTAGGAACTATATTTGGATACCACTGAGTAAGAATTGTTCAAATTCTAGCTTAGTGTAAATAAGCACTTTTGTCCTTGGCTCAAACTCTGGCTTAGGTTTTTGTGGCTTTGATCGTGATGTTATATAGAATCAGAGATGGGTAGCCTTTAGACTTTCAGACATTGTCCTAGTTCAATCCTGTGTTACTATGATGGATGGTCAAGGGTACTGGAATTATAATTCAAAAATGTGGTTGGCAAAAAGTTGGCCAGCCCTGCAAAAATTATAGATGAATACTTCATGGTTTGTTCAGCTGTTTCCACCAATGATAGGAACCAAAGGGAGACAACTGAGTAGCACTTCATGAAGTCATTCCTTGTTTATGCTAAAACAAAATTCAGTGTGATGCTTGACTTGAACCTCTATCACTTATGAGATAATGTTCTACAGCAAGTATCCATGAATATGCAAAATGAGTTGTGCAGGCGCCTAAGCTATTTTATGGGAAGTGGCAGAGTAAATTGACCTTTGATACCTGAGAGAAGTACAATCCAATAAAAATGGTGACACCCAATCACCTGGCATTGTCTTCTTCACCCCCATTATATTTACCTGACTAGAAATTGAGCAAGAGTGCAACAGTGATCTTACTCAACCACTAGAGTTCACTGAAATTCACCAGGGTTGAGTCTATGGGAAATTCCTGATGGATTTTGCCTGCTATAGTCAGGCCCTTTTGTTCAGAGGAACGTGAGTCATTTAGCCTGGCTGAGTCATTCAGTCACACCTTGTTTTCCCTGGCCTAAATGGGATAACATTCCTTGCGAGTCTGTCCATGTTGCTGCATAGTTACATGGTATGTAGTGTGTAGTTAACACAAACGATCTTTCCCTGGTTGCTGTGCAGCAGCAGACTTTAATAGAGCTCCATAGTAGCAGAAACAAGACAACTGGCTTGGGGAAGAACGCACTTCACACTGACTTAGAGCTAGAGTTATGGCTTCCAGTGTTCCTAAGATACCATTCAAGACGTTTGGAAAATGTGACTTAAGCCCAATGATCTTCTAAAATCTGTATCATGTTTGATTCTCTTCTTGGGTTCGATGCAGAGAACCCTAGATAATACAACTTCACTGAAAGAGAGTTATTTCATCTCTCCTAGCTCCTTGGGTAATCAAGAAGCTCTATTAGATCCACGATCCAGATAATCTTCATAGGCACAGTTTCATCCAGGAGCCTTGTCAGGTTATTCAAAGTTGCGACTGAGGCTTTAGCCCAGAGGTGTCAAACTCAATTTCATTGAGGGCCGCATCAGGGTTGTGTTTGACCTTGGGGGGCATGGTCAAGGGGGTGTAGCCAGGGTGTGTGTGGCCAGCTCGACGTCACTTGTGTTGAGGGCACCTGTGATGACCAAGTGCTAAGGCAGGACCTCCCTCAGACCCTTCCTCACTCTCATTATAATTTCCTCCCTCCCTTCCTTTTCCTTCCCTCTTCATTCTTTCTTCTTCCTTCGCCTCTTTCCTTATTTCTC